AGAGAGAGAGAGAGAGAGAGAGAGAGAGAGAGAGAGAGAGAGAGAGAAATGTCACCCTCAGATTTGCCTGTAGGCAAGGTTGTGGGAAACCTTCTTGATTATTGGCGTGGAGGAGTCCAGACCACTGTGGGCAGTACTGTCCCTGGGCAGGTAGTCCTGGTACATATAAGAAAACAAGCTAAGCTGATGGAAACAGATCAGAGCCGCAGCCAAACACTGGGCGGAGTTCAAGGAATCCTGCAGAAGAGGGGGAGAAAGGATTGTAGGAGCTAGAGCGGTCGAGGACACCACAAGAAAACCCACAGAATCACCTAACCTGGGCTCACAGGGACTCACAGAGGATGAGCTGACAACCATGGAGCCTGCATGGAACTGCCCTAGGCACTCTGCATAGTTGTTACAACTGTATACCTTGATCTTTTTGTGGGACTCCTAACAGTGGGAACAGGGGCTATCTCTGGTTCTTTTACTGGCTTTTGGACCCTTTTCCTCATACCAGGTCCCCTTGTCCAGATTTAATACATGGGGAGGTGCTTAGTCTTACTGCAACTTGAAATGCCTTGTTTTGTTGATATCCATGGGAGACTTATTCTTTCCTAAACAGAGAGGGAGAAGGAGTGGATTGGGGGTGGGAACAGAGGCAGGGTTGGGGAGAGGGACTTGGAGGAGAGGAGCAAGGGGAAACTTCAGCAGGGATGTAAAATAACATAATAAATTATTTTAAAAGAAGGGAGAAAAGGAAATCTGAGTGAGCCATAAGGAGCAAGTCAGTAAGCAGCACTCCTCCTTGGGCTCTGCTTGGGTTCCTGCCCTGACTCCCCTTGATGGACTGTTATGTGGAAGTCTAGCACAAACTGCCTTTCATCATGGTCTTCACCATAGGGAAGGAGGCTCTCCAAACAGAGCTAGTGATAATTCCCTGGTTTCCCCTTCCCTTTCTTTGTAGAATGACTTGGGATTCGGGACGCAGAATAAGAAATTTTGGGGATAAAAAGGTGAAGCGTTTCCACATTTCATAATACTGCAAAGACCTTTTCTGTGTCAGTCCAGAGGCAGGGGGCTTCCCAGCAAGGAACACCCATTTCTAGTTGAGACTACACTGTGTTCTTGTGAAAACCACTGAAGAAAAAGGACAAAGCTACTCCCAGTTTTGTGGGAAATTGTAGTGTAGCCATCTCCTTCATCTGCCCAGGCTCATTTGCTTTGACTTTGGCTTCTTGTTTATATTTATTTACAGATTGACAAATAAAGTTATATGTGTGTATAATGTATAGCATAATGTTTGCAATACAAATAGGCATACATACATACATACACCATACATACATACACCATACACACACACACACACATACACACACACACACACACACCTCATGGCATCATGGCATGTCTAAATCTAAATCTGTACATCACTTATACAAGGATCATTTTGTGTTGATAACACTTAAGCATCCACTCTCAGCATTTTTTTACAGAATAAAACATGTCATCACTAGCTTTACCCACTAAACTACACCATGAATCTCTAAAATGTGGTCTCCTGCCTTACCATAACTCTATCTTTCGGCCAGCACCTCCTCCCCCAAGATTTAGTGAGCTTCCTTCTGATTGCCATATCACTATCCTTGTAAGTTCTACTTTTTTTTCAGTTCTTTGAGTTTTTAGAGTCTCTTATAATGTTTTCATCATATTCACACACCCCTAGATCTTTCTAGACCCACCCTTACTTTATCTAATTAGTTTTATCTTTTTTAAGCAATTTAAGATGAACTCGTGCAGTCCAAAATATTCTTGGATGTGTGATCTTCCACTGGAGTGTGGTCAACTTCCCAGGGACCACACTCCTAGAGAAAACTGACCCTTCCTTTTCCAGCAGACAGTTTCTGGTCGCTCTGTTTCTGTTGCTGTGAAGAGAGATCATGACCAAGACAGCTCTTATAAAGAAAAACATGTAATTGGTGCTGTCTTATAGTTCAGATGTTCATTGTAATCATGGTGGGGAGCCTGGCAGCACACAGGCAGACATGGTGCTGGAGAAGTAGCTTAGAGTTCTACATCTGTATCTGCAGGCAGCAGGGAGAGAAAGTCACTAGGCCTGCCTTGGACATTTGAAACCCTAAAGTGCACTCCCCCAGTGATACACTTCCTCCTTCAAGGCTACACCTACTCCAACAAGGTCACATGTCCTTATGCTTTCAAATAATGTCACTCCCTGTGAGCCTATGGGCACCATCTTCAAATCACCACACTCTCCATAGCAAGGTGTAGGATTATGTGCCCAACTCCCCTCTCCATACTGTGATTTGGTCTAACCAGGGTTTGCATGGGTTTTCTGAATGCTGTCACAACTGCTATGAGTTTATATGGGCAGCTGCCCTACTATGTCCAGATGCTTCCACATAGTCATCCACTACCTCTGGTTTTTACACCCTTTCTGTGCCCTCTTCCACAATGTTCCCTGAGCCTTGAGGGATTACATAAAATTCCATTCAAGGCTGGGCATTCTGCAATGTTATTTCCACCTTGGCCAATTGTGGGTCTGTGTTAATCAGCATCTATTACAAGTAGAAGCTTCTCAGATGATGGTTGAGAGGTGCCTTCTGAGAAGATGCCATTATATCTATGAATATAATGATAAGTCATTAGGGATTGGTCTAATATTATGTCCACTTAGAGGCATATTAGTAGTAGGTTCTTTCCTAGGGCCTATGAAGTTGTCTAGCCTTGGGTTCTTAGCCCAGTAATGGTGCCAAGTATGGGTTTCTTCTTGTAGAATAGAAATTAAATCTAAGCAGAAAGTGGATGTTTAGTCCTATGATTTTTGTGCCACTCTTACACCAGTAGGACTGTCTTGCCAAGCCAGTCATTGTAGCATGTCACAGGGTTCACAGATAGGTGTGCCTGATGGTTGTTTCTTCTCTGATAGCGCATATAGCTATCAGTAAGAAAGCTAGTCCGTATGGATGATGCTTCCAGGTTCATATCAACTTGACTTTTCTCACATTCTGTGACTTATTTGGTGTCATCAGCAATTGAGTTTTACCGTCAAGTTCTAGAGGATAACCAAGAGCAATGAAATCAATGTCTGAGGGTCTATGGTACCTCATTGTCAAATAACCCTAAAAGAAGAAACCTATTCCTGGCATTACGCTTTTAATTTGTTAGCCTCTGGTGCCTAGTGGGGACATTGTTGTTTGATATAGGGTAACTGTTCTGTGTGTGTGTGCCTGTGCATGTGTGTGTGTGTGTGTGTGTGTGTGTGTGTGTGCCAGTGTGTGTGCCTGTG